CATCTCATAAAAACAAATAATCATAAGAGACAGCTCTAAAAAAACATAATTTTAATAAAAAATCATAAAAAAGCCAGTGATTAAAGATACCAATCACATCATGCTAGATAATCATAATTCACAGAAATAAACATAAACAGAATAATCATACAAACATACATATCCTAAATCAAAATCAAAATATAAAACAAATCAAACTGACACATGATTTTTTCCTATAATTCACGAAATCAAATAAACAAAAAACAGATGAAAGAAACAGGAACAAAATATAAACACAAATAAATGCATTACCTACAAAGTATTTTAATAATCAATAAAACAAATAAATAAAAAAAAAATAAACAATAAAAATCAAAATAATAAAAAAATGCAATAAAAGAAATAATCAAATAAAAAATGAACAAAAAATAAAAATAACGAAAAAATGGCGCGAAAATACTAACCGTAAATGAAGATACATATGCCAAGAAAATGCCATGTGTTTATGCCTTTGTTACGGGGTCTGGGACGCGGCAGCATGTGGGGCTGAGTCACCGTACGTGCGTGCGCGTGTGCGTGTGTGTGTGAGGGGGGAGGGGGGTAGCGTGCGTGTGCATGTGCGTGTGTTTACTTGTCTTTCTCTCTCTCTCTCTCTCTCTTTCTCTCGCTCTCGTTCCCTTCCTTCCTCCCCTCCCTCCCTCCTCCTTTCATTCACTCACTCGCACACTCTCTCACCCTCTCTCCCCATACCCCTCCCTATCCCCATCTATCACACACACACAAAGGAAACACGCACACACACATACATAAACAAACATCTACAGTTCGATGATGGGAGTGATTTACAGGGTGTCAAAACGTGTCACTTTAGGTGGCTTCACTTTGGCAACACTGACAGTACAATTTTTATTTTTGTAAATCCATTTTTCCCCACTAAAAAAAAAAAAAAAAAAAAAAAAAAAAAAAATCACGTTTCTCTTTATCTTCCTACACCTCTTTATCTTCTCTATTACTAAAAGGCAATTTTTAAATAGGCCTAAACGAGGTTAGGTTAGGAAGATGACGAATGACAGTCTAAATGCCTCAATGGACATTTAAAACGAGAATGGACAAGAAGATAAATAATTTATGAGACACTAAGTCCATAAAAAATAATTAGTGTGGCTGTAAATATATAAATTGTCACATAATATATAAATACACACGTTCCAACATACTGTAATACACAGACACACACGCACACACACACACACAAACAAACACACAGACAAACAAACAAACTACCATCCCCTCCCAATAAAGCTCCACAAAAGAAAATATCAACGAAACCCGAACAACAGGGAGCCAAAGACAATCGCCCCGCCCCCCCAGCTGCGCCCCCCTTTCTCCTTACAATAAACGGGAAAAATCTGTCAAGCGAGAATCTAAATTTATTGTAACATAGACGCCCATGTGACTCCTTCTCGCTCGACCGCCAACCGACCGCTTTTTGGCGCGAAGTCGGGAGGTCGCCGCTATACGATTCACGCTTAACGGCCGCTCTTGTTTTTCGATTTCTGCGCGAATTTCGTTATCTCTCTTTTTTTTTTCCTTTTTTTTTTTTTGTTTCCCTCTTTCTGGAGATTCTTGTTTCTGTGGCTGTGTCGCTTTGTTTGCTCTGTCTGTCTCGATCTGTGTATTTATGTCTTTGGATGTCGGTTCTCTCTCTCTCTCTCTCTCTCTCTCTCTCTCTCTCTCTCTCTCTCTCTCTCTCTCTCTCTCTCTCTCTCTCTTCTCTCTCTCTCTCTCTCTCTCTCTCTCTCTCTTCTCTCTCTCCTATTCCCTAAATTCATCTTCATCACCTTCTTCCTCTCCATCTTCACCTCCATAGACCTTTTTGTATCTTTCTTCTTTCTACTTCCGCCTCCCTCCTATTTTTGTTTTTTGTTTTTTACATGCTGCGAAAAGGGGAGAGAGGAAAGAAAAAAAAGTGGGTGGGAAGTAAGCCAGGAGTGAATAGGGAGGAGAGGAGGTGGGAGAGAAGAGGAGGAGGAGGGGGAGGATAGGAAGAGGAGGAGGAAGAGGAGAGAGAAGGTGGAGGAAAGAAAATAGGAAAAAACAGAAAGGAGAGGCAGGCCTTTCAAGAAGAAAAAAATGTATGTAAATATATATATATATAATATATATATATATATATATATATATATATATATATATATATATGTATGTATATATATATATATATATATATATATATATATATATATATATATATATATATATATAATATATAATATATATATATATGTATATATATATATATATATATATATATATATATATATATATATACATAACGACTATGAAATAAAAGAAAGAAGAAAAAAAAACAGAAAACGCAAAAAGAGGGGAAACTAATGTAACATACCCTCTCATCGACCCTCTCTCTCCCTAAAAAAAAAAAATGCTACAAGATTTCCAACCCCGTCTTCCAAATGCGCTAAATCGCTTTTATGTTCGAGGTTGGGGTTACGTTTTTTTTTTTGTATGATTTGAAAAAGAAAATGTGGCTTAACGACGTTTTTCTTCCTCTGGTGTACTTTTTTTTGAGGAAAGGGGAGCTACGAAATTAGGAAGAAACAGGGGGGAAATAATTAAGATACATAGCATAAGAGAGAATAACAAAGAGAAAAGTCTATCATTACTCACTAACACGAACATATCATAAAAAACTAATCCGGTATAGTATATACATATATATAATATATAATATATAATATAATATATTATATTATATATATATATATATATAATATATATATATATATATATATATATATATTATATATATATATATACAATATATATATATATATATATATATAATATATATATATATATATATATATATATATATATATATATATATATATATATATATTATATATACAAGAATTGCACGAAATAACAATATAAAAATAAATTCGCATAAAGCCGAGAAGAAAGAGATAGAGAACGATAAATGCATTACATAAAATCACAAATCCCCATTCCTCAAAAAACTAACAACAAGAATAGCAAAACAAGAACCCCCCCCCCCCCAAAAAAAAAAAGAAAAAAAAAAAAAAACAATTTTTTCTCCCTCCGCTCCGTTTAAGACAAAGCGAATCCCGCCAAATCTGCAACACGACGTCGATGTCTCCCGCCAAGTAATTCTCGGGACCGCAATCTGCTTAACAATAATTTCGCTTCTTACTATTATTATTTTCCGCCGATTTCTTCTTTCTTCATCATCTTTTCTTCTTTTTCCTTCACATTTCCCTCACATATGCACTCCTATCTATCATGACTTCTAGCTTACTATTATTATTATCCTTCTTCAACTTTCTCTTTTTATTATAATTTTTCTTCTTATTGCCTTATTTTTTCTGGTTATTCTTCTAAAAGAGAGAGAGAATAAAAGAAAACATTTCTTATTAGTTATATTTTCTACTTATTCTGAGAGAGAGAGAGAGAGAGAGAGAGAGAGAGAGAGAGAGAGAGAGAGAGAGAGAGAGAGAGAGGCAAGTACTGAGGACTTCGCGCGGCATATTTTGGTTGATCTTTAATCCTGTGAAAATTTCGGCTGTCGATTGTAAAGTCTCAAGCCAACTGCTCGGGGAGAAAGACAGAGACAGGAGGAGACGCAGAAGAAGCCAAGGGGGAGATGGAGGGGTGGAGGAAACGCGAGAGTTATAGAAAAGGAAAAAGAAAAAGAAAACGACAAAGAGAGAAAAAAACGAAAGACATAAAAAGAACGAGAAAGCAATATTAAAAACAACCGTACCGTTAAAACAGATAAAAAAGAACACAAAATGTGACCCTCTCTTCTCTTAACAACAACAATGATAATAACAATAATAACAATGTCATCAGCAGGAACAACAACCGTAACAAAAGAATATATAGGATAGAACACAAATTATGACCTTTTCCCTTAAAAAAGTAACCCCTTCCCTCCTCCCCCCCCCCCCATAAAAAAAAGAAAGAGAAAGAGAGAGAAAGAGAAAAAAAGTTAGCCACAATCTCCACCACCTGCGCGGCCTCCTCTCCTCAGGGCACCCAATGTGTCACCACTAAACCTTGACTATAAAAACAAGCTTCTGTTTAAGCAGCTCGTATCTTTCCTCCTTTTTCTTTCCTTCCGATTTCTTAACGAGTTTCACCTTTCGATTTACATATTTTTCCGAGCCCGAGGGATGGAGTTGTTCTTGGTGAATATATAAACACATGGCATTTTGAAAAAAAAAAAAAAAAGAAGTTTGTTTCGTTTGTTTTCAGTTGTCTCTCCTTCCGATAGCTTCATTTGTATGCACTCTTGTTCGACAAATCGTTAAAGACGTTGGAAATATTCAAATTCAAACTGTCGGCGACGATCGGTTGATTCAAACGGTGACCGTTAAACCGACAAACAAGACGATAAAAGTCTAAGGTCTTGACAACCCATGTTACGTTTATCGCTTTACTATTATTTTTGGTCCGCAATTCTTATTGGCTTCACACGGAGCAATAAATAAAGAGAAGGCAGAATTGAAAAAAGAGGTTTTGAAAAAACACTTTTTAGTGCACATTGCCGACATTCCCCAAAACACAACAAAGACGGAATTACACACTATCCAAGTTTCTAAAGATAACAGTAAAAATATACATACGAAGTTAACTCTCGAAACCGTAGCACATTTCAACCTCAATGCAACCAGTTCCATAAATATAAAAATAATTAAAACAGAGAATACAATCCCTCTATTAACCCCGAGCACCCCTAAAAACTCCTCGCCAAACTTTAAGAAAGAGAAAAAAAATACTAAAAATCACCATAACAAAAATCAATACAACAGATATTCAAATAACATACAACGACCCTTCCCTTAAAAAAATAATAAAAAAAAAGAATTAAAAAATAATAATATTAATACCCTTACCTCAACCTCCCACCCCCTTCACAAAATAAAAAAAACACCCCCACCCTAAAACAAAAGAAAAAAAATCGCCCAAAACCATCAAATCACAAAAACCAAACGACACAACAGAGTACTCACCGTGAACGAGTAGAACCCATCGGGAACGGGTTGTCCCCCAAACTTGACGGAGAGCGTGTACTCTCCCGCGTCCTTCACGGTGTAGTAAATGCTGAAGGTGCCGTCTCCGTTGTCCTCGATGTCGATGTCGAGGTCACTGAAGGGAGACAAAGGGCTTGTGGCGGTGGCAATGGCGGTGATAGGAAGAACAGCGGGAATTGTAATGGTGATGAAAGCGGTAGTCGTTTTTGGAATAATGGAAACTATATGGGATAATGGGGACTGATGTTGGTTATATGCCAGATAAAATGGCAAGGGTTTTTGGAATGATGGCAAGAGTACTGGTTGCACTGATAAAGGTAAAAAGTATGGCCAACCACAAAATAGTAATGGTAGTAGTAAGCATGGCAATAATAGGCCTATCGGTAACCGTAATTGATGATAATAATAATAATCCTATGATGAAAATAATACCACGAACAGTATAAATGATATAAAACCACATTAACGATCAATTATAAGCCATAAAGTAATACTTATTACAATATCACCACCACTGGGTGAATTTCCAAGCATTCAAGTTCATACTATTTCAATTAGAGGGATCTTGATTACCTACTGATTTATGTGCCAAGAGAGAGATAAGTATCCAAGCCTAGTCTCCCGGGTTAAGGATTGGATATCACCTAATCACCTGAATCTAGGTTACGTGACCATAAACCCGATATATTTAACATTTCAAGTCTTAAAAGTTCTAATAAAAGTCAGTTTACATGATAAGGGAGTTACTTGGCAAATATTTCTTGAGTGATTTCATTCCTTCTACGCAAAATGAGGAATTATGACAAAATAGCTTTTAAAATATCAATTCATTTCTACTCTTCAGCCGTAAATAAAATCACATTCTCAAATAAAAATAAATTTTCAACAGATTTCGTTCGTTTCTAAAATTATGCTGTTTTGTGGCGAGGGAAATAAAATGAAATGTGAAAAATAATGCGATACATCAAACTAGAAAACTCCCCTATAACTCATTTATACTTTTCCATTCATCTCTTATCTATATTTCCTTATTATATAAAGATAGTGACATAGGGAAGAAATCTAACAGCTCAACAATAAAACATGAAATACTCGTCAGCTTAACGTATTTAAATTAGCCTTCACAATAATAAAAAAAAAATAACACCAACAACGATATGGTATATAAAGATGAAATATAAAGATAAATGAAAACCTACTCCTTACACAAAAAATTACCTTAATAAAAATACAAACAAAATTTACATTAAAAAATTACAAAACCTACACCAAAAAATAAAAACAAAACCCACATTCAAAAACACCTAAACAAAACCAACACTTCAATAAAAAAAAAAAAAAAATAAAACAAAACCTACTTCTCAAAAAAATACATAAAAACAAACCTCCACTTCAAGAAAAAGAAAGAAAGAAAAAAAAACTCCAAAACACCCCCTCTCCTCTCCCACCCCCACCCCCACCCCCAAAAAAATCACAAACGTACCTGCCAGAAGTTGATCGTATCCTGCACGTTACGGCTCCAGTGCCTGCGTTCTTGGCATTGACCGTGATGCAGTACTCCTCTCCTATAGTTAACGAGTGGTTTATGCCTTCCGTTATCTTGCACTTGTCAGCCTGGAGGTCGAGGGATAGTAAAGAACCAAATATTATTCTTAATGTCCCCATTTCGAAAAGTTGTAAGGGGTCGTAAATATAAGAGATAAATATGTGAATGAATCTTCCGTATTTCTTTTTTTAAATCATTTCATAATTCATATTCTGGTTGTCTGATTTCAAGTAGAAATATCTCAAGGGGAGTAAGCATGCAATAAAGTCTTGAAAATGCCTTTCATGCTATCGATTTATGGCCGCTTAACGATCTAATTGAACATAAAACATTCCTTATCTAATGTGAAAGACACGCATTAACGTCTTTAAGATATCATTGTACCGTAGTGTGTGTGTGTGTGTGTGTGTGCGTTTGAACACCCGCTTATTTATGCTTTTGTACGTCCTTCAGCCTTCCCCCTCCGCTCCCCCTACACCCTCCCCCTCCCTCCTTCCCCCTTTCCCACCCTCCCATCCCTCCCTCTCCTCCCATCCCCCTTTCCCCCTCCCCCACCTCTCCCCCCCCCTCCGCCCCCTTCCCCACCTTCATCCGCTCTCCACCCTCCCCCTCCACCCCACTCAAGCCCTCGAGTGTCCGACTCCTGGTCCGCATATTTTGACATCCTTGTAGTGCCGGCCGAGTGTCCGAGTCCGTCCTTGTACGCAGTCGTCAGGCCGCCGTTGTCCACCACCTTCACCTTGCGCGGGTGGCCGTCCGGACCCTGGTGGGTGAGGTGTAGTGCGTTGAGAGGAGAACAGTGAGAGAAAAATAATGGGTGTGAGGTGAGGTGAGAGGAGAGAGAGAGAGAATAGGTGAAGTGTAGTGAATAGGTGAAGTGTTGAGAGAGAATAGAGTGTAGTGAGGTGAGAGGAGAAGAGAGAGATAATAGGTGGTGTAGTGAGGTGAGAGGAGAAGAGAGAGAGAATAGGTGAAGTGTAGTGAGGTGAGAGGAGAAGAGAGAGAGAATAGGTGTTAGTGAGGCGTGGTGGTGGTGGTGGTGGTGGGTGGTGGTGGTGGTGGTGGTGGTGGTGGTGTGGTGATGGGTGATGGTGATGGTGATGGTGATGGTGATGATGATGATGATGATGATGATGATGATGACAATGATAATGATGATGATTAATAATAACAATAACAACAACAACAACAACAATATCAACAACGACAACAAACCCAACCAAAATTCGAACCTTCCCGCCAGCACCTACCGTGACGGCCACCTGCAGGTCGCCGTGGCCAGCATCGTTGGTGTCGATGGAGAGCTCCGTGGGCAGGGAGGCGGGAATGCCCTTGGCAGACACGCCCGCGCCGTTCACCTTCACCCGATTCGGCTCGACTTGCGGGCGGACGCGGGTGCGGAATGGGCTGGGCGGGAGAAAGGGGGGGAGGGCGGGATCAGTGGGCGGGGTTTGGAGGGCTTGTTTTTTTTTTTTTTTTTTTGGATTTTTTATTTTTTTATTTTGATTTTATTTTGGTTATTTTTTATTTATTCTATTTTTTTCGGGTTGTACTCTTTTTACTCTTTGTGTTTTAATGTATTAATCATTATTATTTTTTTTACTGTACTTTTATTTTATTAATCTTGTTAAAATTGAATGTTTTGGGGGTTTTGTTTTTCTTTTTTTGTTAAAGAATATATTATATACTTTCTTTACAGCTTTACTACAGTACTGAAAATGCCACAATCATTTTTTTCTGTATTTCAACCAGAAAATGGTAGGTTAACAGAATAAATAAATAAACAAGTGCATACACAGAAATAGTAACTGCATAGTGCAACTGTTACCCTCTAACTGAAATTAAAGCCAATAAAATTTGGCTGAATTTCTATACATCTACAGTTAAACATATCGTTGCATTATAGCAAACAATAATTGCAATGATAATAATAATAAGAATAGAAACGATAGCAATAATACAATACCAATAATAAAAATAGCAATAATAACATTATAATAATAATAACAACAACAATAACAGGAAAAATACTTCAACAACAAATGCAATGAACAAAGATCATGCAAAATGCACTATACTATAAACCTTCATAACAAGACAAAAAACTAAATAATCTATAATCTTTCGCCCATACGTAGTTCAACCTAACTCAACCAAATTGTATATATTTACTTGTTTCCTAAAATAATGTTCATATATTGTGTTATTTCACCACTTATTGATTTATTTACACCAATATTTCAGACCTGAAAATTTTAATAAAAATATCCACTTACAGTTATGTGTAGGAATGTAATACCCAATTATTTACCTCTTGGAATCAGTTTCGATAACTAATTCATAATTCATTTGCCACAGAAGATGATGATAATAATAATAATAATTATTATTATTACTATCATCATAACACTGATAATAATAATGATAATAATAATAGCAAATTATAGTAATAGCAATACCAATAATAATAAACAACATTATTATCAATATTAATAATATTATGATTACCATTAGTATTAATAGTAGTAGCAATAGTAATAGTAGTATTGTCATTATTATTAACATTATCATTATTATTACCATCATAATGTTCATAACAACAATGACTACTACAAAAGACAATCTTAATACAAACAGAGGCTAACAAAACAGATATATATATATATATATATATATATATATATATATATATATATATATATATATATATATATATATATATAGAGAGAGAGAGAGAGAGAGAGAGAGAGAGAGAGAGAGAGAGAGAGAGAGAGAGAGAGAGAGAGAGAGAGAGAGAGAGAGAGAGAGAGAGAGAGAGAGACTACTACTTTGTTTTGCAAAATAAAACATCAACTTGAACTATCATACATGCAAAGACATCCAGAAATACACACATTTCACCGCTTTGATACTTTATAGTG